AATCCCGTGTCACTTTGGTGGTTGGGGAGCAAAAGAGGGATGAGCTGGAGTTTTATTTGGTACCTACAATCAGGACACCTGTGCAGTCTGAAGAATTCAGGGGCCTCTTCTCATTGTGAAGACTCTTTCTCAGGAAGGCTTTCATTGTAGTAGAGTAAGCGGACATCCTGAATCTGGGTTTTTAAAATTTTTTTATGTTATTTATTTGTAAGTAGATGTGTGCTATGGTGTACCATTATTGAGGAGAGAACAACTTGGGGGAGTTTGCTTTCTCCTTTATGTGAGTCCTAGGGATGAAACTTAGGTCATTATATTTAGCAGCAAGTGCATTTGCCTCTAAACCATTTCACCATGCCCTAACGTATAATCTTTAATCCTCCCTTGGCTACTCAAATAGCTATGATAATGGGAAAGTTACCCAAGTTTTCTATGGGTTGGACCCCTCATCCATATAACAGAGATTAAAAAAAAAGAAAACCACAAATTTATAAACTCATGTCAAACAAGAGAATTTGTGTAATTTCCCATATGCAAGCAGTACTCAATGAATTGCAGCTTATAAAAAAAGAACAGTCAACTCCCGATGCAACCAATTTAGAATATTCCCCCCTTTTCTGCCCCTATGTTCTCATCTCTAATAAGGGGAGGGGGCTGCCTTCAATCAGGTGTGAGGTTCCCTTGACCTCTAGCAATGGGTGACTCTTGGATCTTGTAAAGGACACATTGCAAAATTGCGAAAGGCTGGAACAAGGGCGGAGGATTGCAGAAGAGCTGGGTCTGCAGCGCCACCTAGCCTAATGTGTGCTGGCCCTCCGCCTATGCAGCTCCACCTCGCTGGAGCATCTTCTTTCTACTTACTTTTTTTTTTTTTAAGTATAATTACTGGAGCTTATGTTTCACAGTTAATGCTGTCAAGCCTTTTAAACTAATTGGTCTTTTATAGAAAATTTAACTGAAAATTAACACATTTTTTAATAATGTTGCCTTAACTTTAATGGCACTCTGCCTTTCGTCTATAATTGCACTAAAATTGTCATTTTCCATGTCATATCTGCCATTTTTTATATTTGCTAGTTTTCATGGTGTGGATTTTTTTATTTTTAGTATTTTTCTTTCGTGAGCAATGAGAACTACTTCAATTACTTTCTCCTGGATCCGCCTTGCCTGGTGTAGCAGCAAGGGGTATGTTCTTGGGTCCAGCACAACATCCCGCTGTTTGCTGCTCAGACACAACACTGCTGCTAGCCCATCTGCCTTGGCTGCACCTGTGGCCTGTCTGTCTGCTTGTGAGCAGAAGAAACGGGGGCTCTTGGATGGCGTATAAGAGATGCGTCATGAGCAGTGAATAGCTGGCATCTCTAGGATGGCAGCAGTTTATCCTGGGCTGACAATTCAGCCTTCGACATAAGGCTCCCTAGGGTTTGGCCCCTCAGGAAGTCACAGTATAGACAGAAAGCAGGTGGGGCAGACCCGTAGTTCAGAGGAGCACATTCTCCAGTCTTACTAACACAAATCTAGTTATTTCTGACACCAAGAGACCAGTTCATATGAGACATGAAAACACAGAAATAGCCGGGCGGTGGTGGTGCACGCCTTTAATCCCAGCACTCGGGAGGCAGAGGCAGGCGGATTTCTGAGTTCGAGGCCAGCCTGGTCTACAGAGTGAGTTCCAGGACAGCCCGGGCTATACAGAGAAACCCTGTCTCGAAAAACCAAAAAAAAAAAAAAAAGAAAAAAAGAAAACACAGAAATATCTCTCCTACAGACTTCTGACTCATCTATCCCATAGCTCCTGGGTCTTACCTCTCTAAAACAGTGGTTCTTGACCTAATACTACAACCCTTTAATACAGTTCCCCATGTTTTAGTGACTCCAACCGTAAAATTATTTTCATTACTACTTCCTAACTATAATTATGCTACTGTTACGAATCACAATCTAAATATTTGTTTTCCAGTGGTCTTACGCAACCTCTTTGATAGAGTTGTTCAACTGCTAAAGGACTCTCAACCCACAGTTTGAAAATCACTGTTCTAAAGTATGTGTGCACATGTGTGCAGAGTAACCAGACGTTGTTGTATATATACATATATATGCATGTTAATAAAAAATCTATAGCTTTGTTGTCACATAGGCCTGCTTGTTGAAAGACCTTCATATTCCTTTGTCCTTATCCAAGTACCACAAGGACACAGGGAGTTGTTCATGTCACACTTAATGAACATTTGGTCTCAATTGAAAATAGAGAAGATAAACAAGGACTGGTGGTGAATCAGATCCAGAAGCTTCAGGTGTGCTTGACCCTGTGCCACACTGTCCCAATTACTCCATGTGCTTAAAGTCTGTAGGTGTTATGATGGTGCCTGTAGATGGAGGTTGTGGTTGAGTCTCACCTCTGCTCTTGCTCTTTGGAGGAACTTCATTTTAGTTCTTCCTAGCTATGGCTTTGGTAATTGACCAATCTATATTCTTTTTCACAAATGAAGGCTGGGATGAAATACAAAGAAATCACAGGTAAAATTTTTGTCAAAGGGTCTGGATCTAATTGGGTGTGTTGAGCCAGACCTCAACTGGAGTTTTTTCATCCTAGACAACAGAGCAAGGTCTAGAATAATTTGGCTAAGACTTTGATTGATGACAGGAAATGATGCTGTCAGCGGGTCTGTTAATATGTCTTGCTCCAATATTTAAACCTGTTGCTTTTTCACACTGTGATCTGAAAGATCAGATTGTGTCATTAATGTGTGTTATACAGTTCCAGGCCCTCAGTACCTAATGCTGCTAATGAGAAATGTGAGGGGCAAATACTAAGTTCCTGCAATGATTTACTCTAGGCTAGAGTGTAGTAAAAATACTGCTTACAGGCTATCACACCTATATTGCACAAGCCACTTTGTCCCAAACACTTCAATTTGGTATCAAGAGAGATTGAGGATGGATGATCTTTGAAAACCGTGATTAGAAATCAGTTCATTTCTACTTCTCATCTGAGTTTCTGAGAACTGAGTCCCTAGTGATGCTATTCAATGGTTAGTCTTACAACTCAAATGCAGATAATGCCCCGATTCCACACTGTTATATGCCCCACCACCAGGCTGTCAATCACGTGCCCCTTTGTGTAGAAGCTTCAGTGCCATCAGCTTCTGATTATCACTGGCTTCACAAGCGTCTGGCCTCCTCAGCTGTATAGCTTTACTATTTCAGAATTCTCAGTAATTTATAAAAACACACCCTTTATAAATGATGGATCTAATCCTACCTGGAGTACACTGACTATCTGCCTAGAAATACAAATGTTATAAATTTGAGTTTTAAAAAGCTCTTAACAGTATTTTTTCTTCTGGAAAAAAAAATCCCATAAACAGCTTACTTGTATTTCAGTAAGATCAGAGTTCTAAAATCTCTGAAATTAGGATCAAAATTAAAGTGAGATTTCTAAAGAGACAAGATCTGGCCTCCTACAGAGAATCTAGTGCTTTACTGAACATAATCATGTATGTTTATTGTTCTTTCCAGCCTGCTCAAAAGTTTGTATAAACTGAGCCAACATCAGCAGCAGCTCTAAGGTCAGTCACAGTATCCCAGAAAACCAGGAGGATGCCCCTATTGGGCCCACTGATTCTTCTTACTGGCTACAAAAGCCACCAATCAACCTTAATTCAGATGATGTCATTTCATAATTATTTTTAAAACCGTTATTCTGATATTTCACTAAGATATGCTTATATCTCCACTATGTTCAGACACATAGAATAAACTAAATTCATATCTGAAAGCCTCATGTCTTCCTCTTTCCTCACATGGTAATCCTCTTGGGATTAATTTTAATGAATAGAAGATAATAATGCATAATTAGCATGTAAGTTGCTTAACACAATCAGGAGAATAACCTTCTTTAGCAATGTGAGAATATATGTATGGGAAAACACTCTCCGAGTTATGTTTGTAGCTTAACATGCTCACTAAAATTCTGTTCCATGGGTTCAGCAAAGGTCAGCTTTTATCCAGCCCGCACCCCCATTTTAACAAACTGAATTTGATTATTTCGAAATGAAAAGTGCTATCTATCTGGTAAAGAAAGACATTATTAGGAAATATTCCCTGTACCTGCTGTGGCCTGTTCTAAACACCTGCTGTTGTCTGTTGCAGTGAATAATGTTGCCACTATGCTGGAATGTGCTTTCTTACTTGTTACTTGTTTGGAGGGTCACAAGATGGAGAAGAAATGGCTTGACCACTTGATGCCCATCACGCTACCAAGCGAGACAACTGCTTCTGACGTCTCAGTCAACAGCTCCTCTTTACCATCATTCTGTCTTTGCCCTTCTGCTGTGAAGAGTCCTGTGCCTGGTCCTCATCCAAGGTCTAGTCTTTTAGTGACAGGCAGGGACTTTGGTGTCACCCTTGGCACACTGTCCTTTCTGCTTTCTGTTCACATTCAGGCTATTCCCAAAAGTCCCCTGTCTTACCGGTGAATACTCCGACCCACCCACCTGCCTGCATCACTGTCAGAACTGCCCTCCCTCCAGCTAGATGAGATGCTTACATGGACAGCACCTTCAATCTTGCCTGACCAAAACATCCCCACCTATCAGATAAGGCTTCAGACATGAACCAGATCACTCTTCAGTATTAAGTCCAAAGACTCATGAACATGGTTTCCAATCTCTTCCCTGTCTCTTCCTCATTCTGCTTCCTTTGTCTTCCTTGAGAGAGTCTCACATCTTGGTACGAAATATTTATTTCCTTAAGTGGTGTCTCTCTTATCCTCCAACCCAGGCCATAGCTTTCCCTGTCTTCCCTGCATGTTGAAGAATTTATAATAAATATTGTCTTATGTGATTGATAAATACTGGTATCCTTTCTAAAGAGAAACATTCGTGAACTTCTGCTCTTTTCCATGCACAGCTCAAGTTCCTGCCAGTATCTTCTATTGTGAAGACAGCCCATGGGCACGTATCCCACCCCTTGAGTGGAGAGAAACAAGCTAGACAACTCACCGCACTCATGAGTGAGTCCAGGACGCTGACGGCAAATGCTGTCCCACAAGCAAAGGGCTGTGTGAGGTACAGCTCTGTGTCAGGGTCATCGTCATCGTCTTGGTCCAAAAACTGAACATTAGTATCGTTCACTAGAAGAAGCATAAAATAAGAATTAGCACTGAAGACTACATATGAGTTAGTAAAGCCAGAGAGATAGTTAAGTGACTGGGTTAGAGACACTTAAGTTACTGCAAAAGAAACAAGCATGGGGAAGCTGTTGATGGATCCCAGGGTTGGCAAGCACTGGGACTCAAATGGCCTGCTCCTACAGGATTGTTTTAACTTCTAAGACCTGGAGAGCAATGAGGTCAAGCAGGGTTGTTCCATGGTAACTGCTAAGGACTGGCAAGTTGATAGTGTTGACCAGTTCTTTGTTACAGTCTTATAGTCATGACCAAAAAATACCCTAAGGCATTTTTTGGTAGCCAAGTCCTCTAATAGAGGGACATTAACCATGAGTAGCCATGCTGGGATGGTAAGGTTAGCCGCAAAGAAAAGAAAGCAACTTATTCAGAAAGAAAAGCAATGGATCAGAAATGCAGCAAGGGCAAATGGCAAGCAGCTTACCCGCAGGCAGGACCTACAGATAGCCCCAAGGATGGGCCTGGGTAGTACCTGGTGTGCCTCTTCTCTGAACTCAGGCCCATGCTCAATGGGTCTTGCTCAACACATGAGAATGGATTCTGGATGCCTCCTGCTGTTTTCTGACTTTCTCTGCAAATTTCCCCATATTCTGTTTCCCCCTTCTAAACAGCTCTGTCTCCTCTATGTTCTAGAAGAAGACATGGCCAGCGCAAGATGTCTTCCTTCATTGTCATCTGAGGAGCCCCCAAAGGACTCCTCCTGCATACACTCACAGACTGACAACTTGTGCTTTAATTTATAAAATGAGTGATAAGTGAGATGTCTTTAACTTATAAAAAATTAAATGAAAAATTAACTTCTATTCCTATCTTGGCTTCACAAATGATCGATTTTGCAGAGCAAAGTAATAGGGGAAAGTGTGGGGAGTTGGGAAGAGGTACACTTGTGATTTCTGGAATAATTAAGGTAGTTTTAGGAAAAGAACTGATGAGGTTTCCTTTCTGTGTCTTTTTCTGAATCTATTTGCAGCTAATTCTCTTTCCTAGAGTTATTGTTTTAATTTTTTAAAAGGACTTTCTTGACAACTTTCCTGAAAACAACAACAAAAAAACCCTTTTGTTTATTGCATGAGTCACAATAAATGATAATAGGATGAAAGGCTAGGCGTGGAATTATTTTTAAATGACACCATCTTTTTTGCCACCCTGGAGAATGACTCTAATGGAAGTAAATCTTTGCAGTGATTTTTCCAAATTTGATCACATTTGGGTCCCAGTTGTATCAGCAGCAAGTGAATTGCAAGAAAGTGGGTGAAAGTCTCTAGTCTGGTTTTATCACTGAGTTCTTTGACAAAGCATTTCATGATCTTGCAGCCAAGTCTATCTCACTGTAAAATGAGAAAGTTCTGCAGCCTCTCAAGAAGTAGCCCAGAGACTCTTGATACAGGACCCAGGGCTTGCTGAGCCCTGGATAAATGGAGGCTGACATCTTGACTGTCCATCAATCCATGACATTATGGAAATATCCAGCCTCTTTCTACTCCTTTCAGAATCACTAAAGGTTTACTTATGAACCTTCCAAGTGGTTCTATTAAATTAAGTTATGATAGGCCCTAAGCTGTCTCCATACCTACTTCACATTTGACTAAAAGTATATGTCATGAACTGCAGCCCCACATCATATGGAAATGGTATACACATTCTTGTAATAAATAGCTGGGGATCAGCCAATCACAAGTGGCTTTAGTGTTCAAACTAGATTCGATAAGACAAGCTCCACCAGTAGCCCAGCCAGCAGGCTGTCTCCATGTCTCATTTTCTTCTTCTCTCATATTTCCCTTCCTTTTTTTCTGGAAAGGAATACACATACACACACACACACACACACACACACACACACACACTGCTCTCATAGTAGGCCAAATATAAGAAACCGTTTTGTTATGGGCCCTTGTCATCCTCTAGAATTATAAATAAAGAAGATTAAGGTTTCTAAACCAGGCACAGGAGAGACGGCTTCATGACTAAGGTGATTAAGAATCCTTGCTGTTCTTACAAAGAACCTGTGTAGGCTTCCTAGCATCTGCACAGTGGCTCACCTGTAACTGTAGTTCCAGAGAACCTAATATACTCTTTTGTTCCCTGCAGACACCCAACATACATATATGCAGGCAAAGACTCATACACATACAAGAGACATAAATAAATATTTTTTAAAGATTTAAAAACCCTCTCTCTGCTTCTCTCTCTTCTTAACAGTGTCTCATATATCCTAGGTTTGCCTCAAACTTATAATGTCATGGAAGATTATGGTGAACTTCTGATGCTTCCCTTTACCTTTGCAGTATAGGAATTGTGGGTGTGGTACTGTATGGGCAGTTTATATAGTGCTAGAGACTGAAGCCAGGGCTCTGTTAATGTTAAGCAAGCATTTTATATCAACTAAACTAAGTCCCAAGTCTATAACTATGTCTTCTGAAATTCTAAAAGTATGTTGTAATGATCACAGTATTTCTACTCTGGGAATCAGAAAAAGAGAGCACATGTACGAGCAGATGACTTTATTATTTGTTGACAGCAGCAGCTGATGGTGGTTGTACCATCATTCCAAGTGGAGCAATGTCTCTTCTTTATGTATTAGGAGATGGGTAGGAGACAGTGCTACTTTTGTGTGGCCCCAAGTAGAAGAAACAACTCTGGATGTTCAGTGATCTAAAGATGTAGGCTACCAGAAGAAGATGTCAAGGCAAGAGTCACGGTTCAGTGAAATGCTTGCCTATTGTTCTGGGATCATCAGTCTTAGAAAGGTAACAGCTCAAGTCGCCCCTGCCCATTTCCCAGAATAACAACTACATGGGTCATAAAGTACACCATTCCCAATAAACAATTACATAATGTGCGACATTGGCCCACAATGCAGGTGATCAAATATAGCTACGAAATAGCTTGTTAAATGGCTTTAAAGTTTTTCTCATGGAAATATCAGGAGCTTTATCATGAAAATATTCAGATGGATGAGGGCAGTATAATACAGTCTTATAATGTGTTTGGCCTGGGTTGTATCTTTGTGTGTGTTTATGAATGTATGTGTTCATGTGTGTATGCATGTAGAAAGTAGAGGTTAACAATAGTTGTCTTTCTCAATCACTGTCTACAGTATTTTCTCAGACAGGGTCTGTCTCACAACTAAATCTTGGGCTCACCGATTCAGCTAGACTACCTGGTTAGCAAACCTCAGGGATCCTTTCATTTCTATCCACAAGGACTGGAATTACAAGATGTACCTTGCCAAGCTCAGCTTAGATGTGGATGCTGAGGATCAGCACATGGCTGCACAGCAAGCACTTTATCCCATGCCCATCTCTCTTGCCCTGACTTTGTATCTTTTAAGGGGCACATGGCTGGGGCAATTCAATGGAGCACACATCCCAGGGCAGGTGATAAATGGTGAAGATTTGCAGGGGTGAAGTGGGAGGAGGCTTGGTATGAAGAGAGTGCTGTGGCTCCTAGAGAAACTAGCCTTCAGAGTAGGAGGAAGGAATGGCCTGAACTCTAACGCTTGAAGGAAAAAAAATCTGGTTCAAAAGAGGATTAGGAGATTTGATAACCAAATTACTGCCTTGTATTTAGAGCCCCAGCTGTTTTACTTTTCCTTTTTCACTAATCAAAAATCAGGATATTCGAGTCAGTTAGTAGCACATGGACTCTAAATGAAAAGAGAAATTCTTGGGGAAAAGAGAAATTCATGGGTGCTTTTGAAAGCTGCTGTAGGTATCTGTGTTGGAGATGTTCAGCAAATCTTCAAAACAGTCGTCTGGGGTACATGAGCTTCCTTGGTCTTTTATGACCTTATGGTTCTAAGAAGAACGATGGAGAAACCCAGGCTCTTAGCCAACCATGCTAAACATGAGAAAGATACTTCTCCTATTGTTGAAAACAGTGTGATACTCCTTGACCTGAGTGAATTTGTCCAGATAAATAGCTCTGTCTAACAACAACGCAGGGCTGCATGGTAGACAATTTATTCCTTCGTTTCTAGACACCTCACAAGCACGATTACTGTGTTAAAAGCCTCCTCTCTTATTTTGAAATATATTTGGGGGCCAAGAAAATGGAGTGTTCATTTCATTTGTGAGTCCTGTGAAGGCAAGTGCTTTCCACCCCTCCTCCTATGCCTCTGCTGAGAAGCCCTTTGCTGGGTCTATTTAGAAGATCAATCTCCTGTTGTGAGACCTGCTGCTGATGGGTGCCCTTCGTGGGTTATTAACCAAGTCATGGGGAACCACTGAGGGGTCTGACAAATGCAGTCATGACCAGGGGCCTTTATCTTTGAGATAAATCCACTGTGAACCTCCCAGGGAGGGCTTTGGGCCAGCAGGGCGGGGGTCAGAGTGTAGGTCTGCCAGCCTGTTCTACACCCTTCTTGGAATCTGGCTTAAGTAAGAAAAGATCCCCTGGGAACCAGCTGCTTTTTATGGCTTCAGAAGCAGAACTTCTGAGAGAAGGCCTAGTAGGGGGAAAAAAGGCAAATAAAGTCAGAATAAAGAAAAATAAACAGCTGGAGGGAAGGCACTGTCTAGGATTTCTTATCTTAAAATTTTTATATTTCTCCTTTGACTTCCTCTGAGAGCTGTGAAGACATGTCAGTCAAACTGACAGCATGTTGGAAGAGGAATGCCGGGAGGAGCCAGGGGAGAGTGGGCACGCGTGGGATTTAAAAGAGAGAGAGAGAAAAAGGCTTGGGCTACAGAAAATGAATTAGAGCAGAGATGCTTTGGCAGCTACTGCCAGGTCAGGTGGGTGTGATCAAAGGTTTACTGATGCTGTGTGGGGAAAAAAATCATTAAGAAAGGCCAGAACAAGACAGTCGATTCCAACCAGAGCCACAAATAAAACACATTCAAAGCAGTGCCATGGGGTAGCCTTTCCGTTACAGCCAGCGAAATGAAGGGGGTGGTGGGGGGAGCCAATGAGAGTTGGAAACACCAAGATCAGAACAAAAGAAAATACTGATGTCAAGGAAGACAAGCACTTCTTACCCAACTCCGTTATCATTAGAATGTGCGTCCCACTGTTTTTTTCCTGATTGACTGATACCAAAGGCAACTTGCCCGGCTTAGCTAATTGGATACAGCATTTAAGGGTCCAGGGAAAGGGAGTGGAGGAAAGTACAGAAAAGAAGAAAAGAGTGAGGGAAAAACAGAGGCAGCATTCTCAAGCTAAGCCACCCGGACAATAGTGAGTATGTATTGTCTCAGGGAAAGAGCCATTCTGTAGTTTTTTTTAACTTCACACAGGCTACCAGAGAATGGCATGGGCATGTCAGAAGCTGGATTCTATTGGCTACATATTATAGCATTCAAACCCTGCACCTTCCCCACATTCATATTGCGGTCATTTATTGAAAATGACCTTTGGTGAGAATCTCAACTAGGACTGTGTCAAGGTGGGGTTGCCATATAGCGGAGCAAACAGACATGTGACCCGATTCTCAAAGGGGATCCATTCTCAGGTGGGATGGGCTTAGACTTGAGGTTCTGAGCAGGGTTTGCAACAGTAGGAGCCTTTGAAACAGAACACTCAGAAGAGGCGCCTTCAAGAAGAATTCGTACCTCTTTTCTTTCCCCTTCCTAAATGGATACCCCAATTTCAAAGCCATTCTCATGCTCCTTTGAAAACAGGGACCAGCAGGAAGGAAATTGTCTATTTGTCTTTTGAGAAAGATAGAACAGTTTTTCCTTCAAATAATCTCTACTCAAACCTCACCTTCACTATTCCACCTCAAGTCCCACAGCAACCTACAATGCCTAAAAAGCTAATGAGCAGGCCAAACTCCTTATATTCTCCATGGTCTGAAAGACAGAGCGCCCACCCACTGAGCTACAGTGATCCCCTACCAAGTTCCGTGATGATGGGAATGTTGACCCCGGTTGTGATAGATGGCTGGCGTAACATCCCGTGCACTGGGCTGTTGTCAGGCGATGATCTGTCCATTCCAGGAGGTGTGAAACCTAGTGGGGAGAAATTCAGAGGAGGAGAAAATCTGGACTTGAGAAAGTCTAGCATACATACAAATCCCTCAAAATGCAATGTACACAATGCATTGACCAGTCACCAAGTAACTCGGGATAAACTCAGCAAGCTTTTTGTTGTTTGTTTGCTTTTTAGGACATTAGAGAAAACCCACTTGGAGCAATTCTAACTTACTCTGACAACTTCCTAAAAATCCAGACCATAGCAATGTTTATTCTGTTTACAGTTTCTCCTCTCCTGTCAAATAGTTAGCACTGGATCTAGGTGCCCTTAGGTAGGAAGGACTGTATGACATACAAAATATTCTTGCTAATGAAAAGCAAGCAAAGAAGCACACATTACTTCTGGTATATGACTTTATCTTGTCCTTCCCTTCCCAAATCACACCTAATATGGAGACATGGGTCACTATGGAGATGAGTCCAGACAGCTGCCCTGACCCATTAAACATTCTAAGTGAAAGAGAATGACAGTCTATTTTAAACTACAGAAATGTTTTGTTGCTTGTTACCGCAGCCTATCTAAACTCGTTCTGCCTATTCTCTTAAGCCAGCTGATTGAATGTCCTTCTGCTTAGTGAGGAAGTTCAACCCAGAGGCTTTCAGCAGTTGTTCGTTAGTTTTTAAAAAGAAATGCGCAGAAAGACATCTCTTTTGATTCCCCCCAGAACATTGTTTCATTGGCCCGCATGCATATCCTACACCCAGGAAATCCATCTTCGAACCAGGTTGAAGTAACAAAATTAACTTGCTAATATTGTCTGAATTAAGTACTAGAACCATCCCTGAATACCTGAGGTAACTAACCCAGCACTACTGAGAAATCATGAGATTTATTTAAAAAAAAAAAGATATAAGATTTGGGATGCCACATCTAGTAAAGGTGAGACTTTCCCAGCCAAGCCCACTGAGTGATCTGTTGAGGATGCAGGCAAAGATATACAAAGACAGCGAAGTTCTCTCTATCACACTTGCATTGGTTAGAAAATCATTTTGCAACTGAAGCACATAGCAACTGCAGCTGTCAACCTTGTGCTTAATTAAGATGACAATATCTATTCCGTGATTGCACTTAATTTTTTTTGTAATATTATTACTCCTCATATAGACCAACTCATATTCAGTGAGTTAGTGTTAGTTCTTCCTCCTAAACTTTGGAATTTGTCTGTTTTCAGCCAACCGCATAACCAGGAGCATGCATTTTAAATGTTAGCTGTTTCCTTCCCTTTGAACAGTGAAGGGGAAGAAATAAACTGTTTTCATCAGAAGTTGCATTCAAAAGCATGAAAAATTGCAAGTGACAGCTGTGCAGATTCAGTGGATGTGACGTTTTTTGAATTTCTTCAACTTGACAAGTAAACACCTTACATCGGTAATGCTATATGCATAATACATGGCCTGTATTTTGACAGCCATCATCAAATGCTGACTTGAGAAAATATGGGTGTGCTCCTCAAAGAGTAGCACCCATAAAGCAGGCAGAGACACAGGTCATACAGCATTAGGAAAGCTGTATTTTGTTGTGGAGCCTGCAACAAGCCAAAGCATCCTTCTATTTTATCTTATTTAGAGATTCCATTATTTCAGTTCCTTTGCATGAAACCTTCATTTAGAAATGGGGTGCTTGTTTCCTGAGCCTCTTCCTCTTGGCTTACGCATTCCATTTCTTCCACAGTCTACAAGGCTGGTTCCACCAGCATCTGCAACGGACCAACTGTGAAGGGTAGACAGACACTCTTCCACTGAAGGTCTGTCTCTCCTTTAAATGTGACCCCCAGAACAGGATATTAATGTTAACGAGAGAACTTCAGGCCAACCACATCTCCTCCTATTTTCTACCTTCACACTTTAAAGGGCTAGGGCAAAATTTTAAAAGTATAGATTTTTTTCCCTTCATCTCATATAGTTGTATTAGCAGTAATCAGACTTGATTAACACTGGTCTTCCCCCTTAGGGGCCCTAATATGGGAAACTATGGTCTGAAGTGCCAGGGTGACACAGACTCCCTAAATGAACTTGCAGAGAAGAGAAATGCAGTTGTCTTCCACCTGAAGGAATGAGACAGAAGGATGAGCTTGGATGTCATCATCAAGTCATGGTTAACAAAGAAGCAGATCTCAACAATGTCCAGGTCTCCACCCTTTTATCCTCGGGATCCCCGTACATTTCTACACAGAACAACATGGGTGTTCTGTGTTTGTTCAAGCCTGGACTTGTGGCACATACACCGGGGACCTTCAGCCATAGACTAGGAAAACTAGGAAATGCTCGAACATGGGAGACAGCTCTTTATTTTGCCAAAAGAAAGAATTAAGAATGTCAGCTCTAGAATAAGATACCTCATTTAGAAAAGATTCAAGCTGAATTCGGGGCTTGCCAAAGGTTTTGCTTAGGCTCCAGTACTTGAATTTGTTAGCGCTGTTCTCCATGGAGTTTGAAATGGTTTCCCCAAACTACCTCCTCTCCTTCCAGGGATGCTCCCTTGTCCTGAATCCCAGTCCTCAGTGGCAGCTGTGACTGGTATGCATCTCTGTTATTCACTTAGCATTAAGAAACCACCATCTTAACTGGCATGACCTTGGGCTGTATGTTTGCATTTCATGGGCAGTAGGAAAAATATTAGGCCAGAGAATTTCCTTCTTAGTTGAACATCCAGCTTATGTATAACAGGATTGACTTGTAAGGAAAAAAAAAGAGACTAGTTAAGAAAATAGACTTGAAGCTGGAAGTCACAGGTTCAAATTCTAGTATTTTCTTTCTCCAAAGTCTGTTAAATTTTTTAAAATATTTTTACTGAGTTATTTTATTATCTGGCTATTCCATTCCATGCATCTGATTTTTATTACTCTTCACAATACAATTTCTTATCTGCCACCGATCCTTCTCCATCCGCTTCTAGGATTGATGACTTTTGGGTATATTTTGTGACCTATTTAGTGTAATCAGGGCCACCTGCATGACTCTTGGATTCAGACTATCCATTGGAGCTTGGTTGGGTTATCAGGGGTTATATGGCTAAGGCTATGTTTCCTCTTTTCATTGGATCTACTAGAAGTCAGTAATTCAGTATTGAGCTAGAGCCCCAGTCTCTCCTTCATCTATGCCTGACTGTTGACTTGTCCATCAATAGGGAGGTAGAGCCCCAAGTCCCTCCTCCATCAATAACTGATTGTTTGGTCCATTCTTAAACAGACTCAACACAGGCATCTGTAGCTGCTGTGAATCTGGGACTGCAATGGTCTTATTTTGCAGAGATGTTCACAGCCTTTCTTTATTTTCAGGCTTTTCCATTCTTTCTGTCCCCTCTTCCACACTTCCCTCCAAAACCTCTAATATCAACTGGTTTCCAGTGCCAATGGTCATCCCTACAAATATACATTCAGGTAGCATTATACCAATTGAGCAGGCTCTATTTAGGAATGTGTATGTGTGTGTGTGTGTGTGTGTGTGTGTGTGTGTGTGTACACATGCATACAATATCACTATTTTTTTTTTGAAAGGCCATGAATTTGAAGGCAAGTAGAGGAAGTATACACAGGAGGAGGACTTGGAGAGTAGAAAGGCAAGGGAGAAATGTTGTAATTAAATTATAATCTCTAAAACCTATAAAAATTTCCTTGAGTTAAAAAAAAGAAGAGGAGAAGGGACTAAGCATAAGAATGAAAAAAAGAAAAAAAAGAGAAAAGTTTCTGATTCCTGTTGTATACATGAATGCTGGTTTTTGCTGCATCTAAGAGTGCAGCTACCTATGACACAGACAAACTAGAAGATTAGTAAAGACCTCTGTGGGGCAATGCAGGCTGAATGTGCTGAAAAGGGGATAAAGGCTCAATGTTACACACTTATGGGCCTCAAAGCAAATGGAAAGATGCTGTAGAGCCAAATTGATTAAGGTAACTGAAAATGATGGAAAGAGACCAAAATAGCACTGCAGCAGAAGGAGAAATTATGTTCTCATAACCTAGGTCTCAAGGCCTCCCTAAACAAACACCGTTATATTGAAGAGAAAGCTTGAGCCTAACCATGACCTGTAGAGAGGGTAGGCAGTGTGCTCAAGGGCATCCCATGTGGCTAGCAGATGTCAGATCTGAACCACATGAGTTCCTAGGGCTCCTCTAAGCCAACTCTTGCTTCTCACTGTGCATGAGACTATGCCAAAGGCACTTTCATGGCCACCTCACTTATTCCTTGTCACAGCTGTGTGAGTTGAGAGACCTGTTAACACTATCACTTTCAGAAAAAGAAAATGGTACTGAGAAGCATGGAGAAGTTGGCTGGAGTTTCCCCAGTAGAATGTGACAGATCTGGTAGCCACAGCCAGATAGACCTAAGACTCTAAGCATTAACAACTAATCCAATCGTATGCTCCATGTCCTAGCTACATGAGGATATCTCTCCCACTCTCCCTCCATCCCCATCCCCTCTCCCAACCCCTGGCAGGCAAGTTTGAGAGACAAGTCAGCCTAACTTTTTTTTTAATTGTTTTCACTTTTAAGCAATAGCATATAACGACTGGGAGCCATTGCAGTCAGACTTAACTTGCTTTGGTAAAGCAGCCTGCACAGCTCAGTGTGTATAATAAATACTTTATTGCAGTACTTTTCCATGGGGGAAACACAAAGTACTTTCTAAATCTTCCCTAGTTAAATCCCCAAGCCTTCCCAGGGAGAGAGGGAGATGGAAATTCTTATCAATCATCTCCCCTAGAATAGATGGAGAAGTGAAGGTAAGTGCTTCCCACACCCCCATGGATTTAACATAAAGGAATTGGCTCAAAGGGTGAGCCAAATTATCTTTTATTGTGTGCATATAAATGATGGTTAGAAATCCATATGCTACGTTAAACTGGGGAAATAAATTAGGCCCAGTCATCGAGGTTCGCCGAGACAGGTATTCAATATGAAGTTGTAAAAGGAAAGATCACCGTTAAAAATGATCTATAAAGACATGTTAAAAATCAAGAGAAACATCTCATGTTA